AGATATGCTTGAAAAATCTCTTATATGTCGAGAACGGCTGAACTGATTTCGACAGTTTTCATTAATTCAGAATAGCCTCTTGGCAGGAAAAAAACAACGTCTAAAAAATCTTGATTTTGTAAAATTTTCTCATATTTTTTTCAATTTTGTCACATTTTTGGCATATTTTCTTTTTGAATTAAACATTTGGTAATATTTCTACAGCTAATAAAACTAAGTAGTTAGGATATCAGGATATCATATACAGATCGCATTTATGGCCCGATCCTTATGAAATTTTGCATGGGGATAAGATGAGGGTCAGAATAGAAGCCTACTCTTTTTGGAGATAATCGCCATATATTTAGGGGTTGAAATGGACAAAAAAACTGCAAAATTGTCAGCAGGTCGTAATTATCGCCCGATCCTCACGCACATTTGAATGGGGGTTACCGCACATTGCAAAAGCCAAGCAGTTTTGGATGGCCATCCAAAAATATTCAATGTGTGAAATAGTTTGCCAACTTTTGTAGACAAAATACGAAAATGTCCATTCCAGTGACTCTTTGGAGAATTCACAAATACAGGAAAGACACACTTCTGACTATTCCGTTAACGCTGATTTCGTGGAAGAATATAGTCAAATGTCTGTATCTCATATAGATGCGTTTCAGTCAAAAGCCAATAATAAATGTTAATTTTTTGCCACTTCTGAGGGTCTTTGGGAAATATTGGTTCCAGATCTAGGAAGACCATTTACGTGCAACATCTACCAATAAATTGGAAATTAGCAAATTAGTTTATGTTGCTATTATTCGAAAATTAGAGAACGAAACCTGATGGTTTTCTTTTATTATTTGTCACAATATCTTGTGGAATTCTTTCGAGTATCTCGTCTATATAAAATGTATCGTTTATTATAGTGTTGTAGGGTATTCAACGGTCGGCCCCGCTCGACTGTAGCCTTTGCTTACTGGTTTTTTTTTTTTTTTTTTTTTTGTATTGAAGGTTTCAGACTCAATTTCAAACAAAACAAACTGAAATTTGTTATTTTGGATTCTAATTGATGAAAATGTGCCCTATAAAATGGTCCGAATTTTGACATTTCGCCATTGCTCTAGCAAAATTTCAATATTGAAAAAATATGAAAAGCGGTTTTTTGGGAAATGATACGGAAGTGTGTACTGCAGGAAAACATTTAATATTTGTGTGTGCCATGTGCCAAAGTAAAAAACTCAAAAATTCAAAAAACACTCATTAGTATTCCCATCGCTTTTGATGTTTTTTCCATACACTTTTCAAATTGTAGGTATATAATATAATTCTTCCGACTACTATAACTATTTATAATTATTTTGAAATTATAAAATCCCAGCTCTGATTCTCTCCCAAATGCTAAAAGTTAAGAGTAAACGCAGCCTCATATTAAAAGGCTCATTGAGTGGTTGGAACAACAGGCGGTTGGACCCAAAGAGATTGATGCCAAAATAAATTTCTCAACAGACACACGCACACACACATACACATCACTGGGAATATCTCAGTTTGCTTCTGGTTTCTCTTAAGTTTCTCAAATGATGCCAAATAGAAATGCTCTTCGGTGAGAAACAGACTTTTTCGTTGAAACGGATGTCCATGAATGATACTGGCGAAACAAGTGTTTGTGTGTGCGTGTATGTGTGTGTGTGCTTCGCTGTGAATGTTTGGCCTGCTGGTGTGATAAGCCAATTCATTGTGACAATGTTCTAATTGAATTTGTTTAGCTGTTGCATATCGGAATTCCTGCTGATTAGCGCCACGTCCGTTGTTTGCTTTTTGAGAATGCCGGTTCTTGCCATTCAACGATGCAAACGAACGTGTCGCAGAGCACAGAGCGACACACCGCCGCAACCATACACATACACACCGTATGTACGACCCGAACGACGGAACGTCACAGAACATGTGTTGGGAAAATGTTAATGCCTTATTTTTCGACAATAGAAGACGATGTCGAGTGGCGGATGGGTGGGTGTTTGGTTGGTAAATGGACATGAGAGTCGGTATTACTAAATGGAGGCAAACTGAACAGGTGTCTGATACAATACCAACTCTTTGTTTGTTGGTGCTAGCAGCTAAATAACCTACACACACACACACACTCTCATGCAAACACATAGATGTGCATTGAATATTGTCACGCTAACTGAGTGTAAAATCAAAAGTTAATTTCGTTGAATATTATCCAAGGTGTTAATTGTTTGACACAATGGCTTTGAAAGAAAACAAAAACACAAACACACACACACAAAACAAAACATCTGTGACCGCAAAATCTAATTAAGGAATAACTATAAAAATGTATTAATTACAAGTAAAACGGTTCCGATAGATTCCAGGTTTTTGTTTTTCTTCTGTAAGATTTTCGTAACTTTCTATTGCAATAAACTAAGAATTATTTGATTGAAAAATACGAAAATATTTTATATAAGGGCACAGTGTTGGGGGTTAGAACTCCAAAATGTATTATAGGTTTTGATAGAAATTTGTTCTACAATTATTTTTTTATAATAATTCTATTTGTACTTAGAGATGGAGTAACGCTGTGGATATTTTTATTTGATTAACTATATGGAAACATTTTGTATAAAAAACGTTTTTTTAGGAAATTCGTAAAAGAACTACAAAAGCCACTATTCGGTACTAATTATAGTTTTATTGATATTGAGCAATTGAGAAAAGTTCAAAAAAGGTAAAGAAAATTTAATTTGTGGAGTGTGCAGAACCAATGTTCCATTGGTATGAATTAAAGGGGTAGAACCAGAAACTTGAATTTTTGTCTTTTACCACAAAAAGTACGAAAATGTTCCAGTTATTTTAACATCCGTATTCAAAGATCAGGAAATAGAAATCGTAAAGTATGGTTGGCACTGAAAAGGTACCAATTATCCAATCTGTTCTAAATACCATACCATTGGAATTCTGCGAAAGTGCTGCTAGAACAATAAAATGTCCAAGTTGTTTTCGTTAAGATAAAATGTTTTTGGTATATTTAATTAAAAATCAAAGCCGTATTCAAAAATATCCTACTTTTTTATTTATTGTCCTATTACTACATCGATCGATTTTAACATTTTGAAAATAATTTCCAACACATTCCTATGTACCTTATATAAATTTCGAACTGAACTTATTTTAAATATAAAATGTAAAAAAAATTCAGCTATTCGTACAAAGAATCGTGCAATCGAATTTCCTATTCCATGATTGTTCTTGTCCCCCAAAACGTATGATCGCTGAAGTCGTCACACGTTAAGTATACCGCATGAAGTTCGTTTTTGTGTTTCACATCTGAAGGTCGTTAATTTAATAATCGCCACTGACATGCGTCCTTCTCAGTTTCAATTAATACTCACTCACTTCGATTTTTGTTTCAGAGTTTCTTTACAGATAAACATAACTGTGCTCTTCGCGCTCTTTCCCGTTTACAATATTATTTTTATTCGCATACATTGTTATAAATGCTTGTACTCATGCTTAGATGTTTACACATCGTACTCATTCATACATATGTATGTATGTATGTATTGCAAGTTAAGACTCCCAAATGTGATGTAGCTACTCTTCAGAAAAAAAGAGTAGTACCGCAGTGCTGCTCGAGTACTCGCCAAGCAATACCGACCACTCGCTCTTCATTTCCCCGTTAACGGTAAGAGCTGCTGACTTTTACACTGGACTGTCGTGTGAAAATCAGTACTCGCTTTTGCAGCGCTTTGTGAGGGGTGAGCGACTGCTGAATTTTGCATCAGTCGCCATTGAAAGAAAGTAACTGAACATACTGCACGATCGTAATTATTCGCATTGCCATTGCAAATAATTAAAAGAATGAAAGACAGATTTTGTTTTCATTCAGCTATTTTTATTTCAAAACAATATTTTTTTCTTTTCTTTTTCACTTAAAAAAAAAACAAATATTTTACTTGCAAGTCCACACAATGCACAAAACACAAATCACAAATAAGCATAATCAGATGCTGACAGTGTTACCAATAGATGCGATTATAAAAAAACAGTGCAGCACTTGCGAGTAGTCAAGCAGTACTCGCCGCCTACAACCATTGATACTACTGACTTTTACATCAGTGTAGCACCACTCGCAGTTCATCAATACCTCCACCGTTTTCTGCAGGGTATTTACACAACATTATTTTTACACTACCACTTACATCTACATTAACAACTCGTCGTATTTTATAGTTGATGTTCTTCTTTTGCCGACGGCGAGTCCCTAAATCACAACTTTTTCTCAAGGAATTGCTCATTCTTTTCAAACTGTTACTGTTATTGTAAAAGGCACTTTGTTTACACTACCTCCCAATGCATGCAGCTCCCAAGTTTTTGCACCTCCCACATACATATGTACGTATGTGTAGGCTATGTGACCCCTGTCTTTTAATGTGTCACATTTCTCAATTACTCACGGACGATCTCTCTGCGAATGAGGGTGGGAGTCCTCCTCATTCGAATGCAAAACAGCGAACCCAGTCGCTGACCGCAGTATTGTCTCAAATGGATTATTGTTGTTATTATCATTATTATTATTGTTGTTGGCATTAGTTTGTTTTTGTATATAAATTCATATGTGTGATGAACATAGCGACGGCCACGACGAGGATGATGATGGTGGTTGTGGTAGTGGTAGTGGTTCATGTAATTGATTAAATTGAATTTAAGTGGCAATGGAGATGTTTACAATGTGCCATTCACTTGCAGTCACATGCATGACCAACCAAACGAAAACAACCCGAAACCGAGTTCCGATGCCGGTGACAGCGGTAGCAGAATAAAAACAATTTGAAGCGGTCTTTAATGTAAATTGTTTGTTTTTGTGAGAAAGTCAAATTCCAAGGATTGTCTACTTCATGGAAACGAAGAAAAGCTTATGTGCAGAGCTGTAAGGGTCAATGAACGAGCGAGATTCGCATTCATTACAGCGAACTAACACTGACACCTACATATTTACATACAAACCACATACATACCTGTAATCTTGTTCTCCCCATTGGCTGTGTGAAATGTGTTCTTTGCCGCCAGTCCACCCAAGAGTTCAAGGACTTCTTCCTCCAGCGCATTACTGCTGTTGCGCCTGGCATTTCGTTTTGTTGGCATTTTATGACGAGGTGTTTCTCAAATCAGCGTTTCAAATTTAAATTGCGCCAAAAAGCGGCACTCATTAGTGTTTGAAGCTCAAGCAATTGATTTGCGGTGTTTTTCAACGCTCGTTGTTATCAGCCGTAACGAACCCCCGCTCTCTCGCTCGCGATTGATTAACAAACAATAAAGAAACTTGTTATTTGGGGGGTTTTCATTCTCTGTCTGCTCGCTTTGTGTTTCTTCTTCTCACACGCTGAGGAACAGTGACGTTGTATGACGTGCTCCTTAGCCGTGATTGTTTTGGCCGTTGTTTTTGTCGTCGTCGTCGTCGTAGTTGACTTTTTGTTTTGTTTTGTGTTTGCTGTTGTTGTTGTTGCAAATCTCAATCACATTTGACCATGTGCTCTATATTTTGTTTTGTTCTTTTAATTTGTTCGTACGTACACTGGGTCACTTTCAATACGATTTGTGATATGTTTACGAGTATTTTTAGCACGGGAATTAAAATTGATAACGATTCATATTGGTCTAACAATCGTTACATTAGGGTGTTCCAATTACCTCTCTGTCTCTCTGTAGAAAACAAAGTAATGATTGAGCGGCCTTTTGGTGCACGAGAGAGTGTAAAACCCAACATTTCCTGAACGCATGAATTTGCCAACATAATTGTGTTATAAATTTAATGTTTCCCAATCCATGTATTCTTCTATTTTTCTATACATATATGCTCCTTGCAATCTGTCTTTTCAAAGATTTGCATGAAACAAATTTCAACTTTTATGAACTCAAAATTAATTATTACTTATTTTGCTCATTTAGACTTATAATCCAATTTGGAATAAAAATATCTATTCTCCCGCTCAGGAGCATTTCAAATTCCACCCCATTACAATTCCTGAAGCTGCGGCCTTTCTCATAGGATGGGTGTTATCTAAATGTGTGATTAATTCAAATTTCCGGTCCACGTTTCCCAACCAAATGGGCGGCAATTTGATACTTTACGATTTATTTATTTCCTAAGATATCAGTCATGTAAGACTTACATCAAATTTCGTGATTTTGGAGGGCATACAAATGTTGACTGTGTCATTTCTTCTCTCCTCGAATTTTGCAAAACCTACTACTTGCACCACATGAGATTGGGACACACTAATATGAGCACTTTTTTTGAGATAGTGTAGAATGGATTCATCGAAAAAATATAACTTTCAAACTTTCTTTGAGGCAAAATAAAATGCTGATCGGAAGATTCAAGAACATATTTTAATGGTAATTTCAAACTATTTGATTAACAGTTTATCTTTATTTGAAACGTAAATCACTTGGAAATGTTTTTATATGAAAAAACTTTAACTTGTTTAATATATTTTATTGATAAAAGTCCTGCAAAATTAAGGATAATTATCGGAAATAGGAATTTTTTGATAGATTATAATTTCGGTACATTTTACATGAAAATTTTTGCGTTTGAAAATTAACATCAAAAAAGGTTAGAACATCCCACTACTCGAATCCCAACTTCACTAAAGACATTGGCGAAATGATTGATTTTTCATTGGAATACCATAAAAACAAAAGTAATCTATCCCCAGGAGCAAACAACTACAACATTCCATTGCTTTCACATATTAACATCCCTACACTCACTCTCTCATTCACCACAGACCATAGGAAATTAATAAATTATCAAACCGATCGACCGATCTTTTAGCCCTTTTCGGCTTCGATAGATCTCTGCTACAATTCAATAGATTCGATCTTCCGCTCTCTGCGCACCCAAATTGCAATTTCAATGAATTCAGAATTGGCCGATCCGCACAATGCTCATTGACGAAAGATCGGATCGTATAAAAGAAGATAAATCGATTCGTCACGCTTCTTTTGTTTTGATATTCTTCTCACTTATTTGTTTTAGTTTTTTTTTTTTTTTTTTTTTTTTTTTTTTGCTGTAGGTATTTCTTTCTTTTGTCAATGTTGTTGTCATTCGGCAGGTATCTTCTCTCGGTCGAATTAATTAATTTCTGATCAGCGATACACTTGATTTAATATTTTGTTTCTGCCACTGGTTGTTGTTGTTGTCGTTGTTGGGCACTAGAGCGGTGCCATTGCAACAATATTCGCAATTGACAGCAATCGCTACTGCCCTAGAGCAATTTGCGTCTAACGCAACACTTTTTACACTCTTGTTTTTGCCTCGTCCAATTTGCGGTCTACCAAAGTTGTGCTGTGCCGTACCGTACCGTGCCGTGTTAGTTTCTGTAGCGCGAGTGCTGTGTGCAGTGATATGGAACGTCCGTAACCGTTGTTTCAAGATTCGAGACTGAGCAGAAAAACTGTAGACCTTAACTGATATCTGTGTGCTGTGCTGTGCGGCGATTTGCGATGTGTCCACTCGGTTTTTGTTTGCTTGTTTTTCTTTCAGTTTTTCGTTGCTGTTGTTTTTGTTGTTGTTTTCTTTTTTGCACATTTTCACTTGACTCGAAGCTTGAGATCTGTACGTCAACAAAGTAGCCAGGCGCACTCTAAGCCTCACCAGGCAATTGATTAAATGGCCCAAAACGCCTGTCCCATTGCGGTGAGTAAGTGTGTCCATGCTAGGCAAATGAGAACAATTTTGTTTTCGCTTCGTTTGTCCGCCTGTCAGGCTGTCTGTCTGTTTGCTTTTGCGTTTGGTTAGATAGCCTTTGAATGTAGTTTTGTTTTCGTTTCGATCAGAATGGCATAGACGAGGCATGCATACACGGTGACGCGTCGTACCCCCCAGAGTGTTTTTTTCTTTTCTGTAAACAGCGTTCCCAGAGTAGTACGGTCACACATATCTAGCCACACGGACGACTAAATGAATGGATGGATATCTGGCTAGCGGTGTCCACACAAGAACAAACATACAAACATACATGCATTGGTATGAAAACGTCAGTGTCAGATCGTTCGCATTTCTGCTCGATTACAATTAATGTGACAACAACACACAGAAGCAGAGATGCAGACGTCAACATCAGCATCAGCATCAACGGCGATGACAGCGACATCAACAAGTGCAAATCTAAAATAACAAGCATTATTCATAGCAACGTTTTAGCGATCATTGATAGATCGTTATCGTTCATGTTGCTGTTGCAGCTGACATTTGTTATCATGTTTTTGTTGTCGTTGTTGTTGTTGTTGTTGTTGTTGTTGTTTTTCAACATTTTTGTCACGCTTGCAGATCTGCTGGATTTACAAAATTGTTATGAGGATATCAAATTGTGAATATGTTCGAATAGCCCCATACGATGCATGGGAAGGGGGGGAGGGAGGTTATACCTTCATTGTGACTATAAATGTTACTCCCATATCATTTGATAGGTCAAAAGTGAGACTCGAAAAAAAACGGCTCACATCTCTGCAGACTAAATCCCTTCCCTAAATCCTTCTCAGTCTCATTCAGGTAGCTTCAAATTTTGAATAATCATAACTGTGATATCATGTTCTCCTCACACATCTCTATATATTTGCCCGCATGGAATCCAAGTAAACATGGTACAAAGAATACAAAGTATATGTATTCTTCTTTCAGATCAGATATAACGAGAATGAATGCCACGTCATAGAGATCGTCCGCTTTATCCCAAGTTGCCATACTTTTAACCTGCTGATTTAATATTTGCCTCCACCCATATTAATTTTTTCTACCTCTATACGAATGTTGAGCTCAATTCCTTAATTAGAATACTTTAAAATAACCGAACACCTTAATCGCCGAATCGATTTAACCTGAATTCAATTATATGTTATTTATACACAGGGCTGTTTACTTTTCCTTTATAATTTGGGTTGAAGAATATTAAACGGATACGGAGGATATAAATATACTTTGAAATGAGTGTTTAAACCAACCCAACCCAACCCAATCCGCGATGTCGAACAAAATGTTATATATTTAATGTGATCGTCATCATCACCTTTCGATATTGTGCTACTGAATTCTGATGAAACATTATCCCTTCTGGAATAAAAAAAAACAGCAACATAGTAGCTATATGCACGCCCTTACTCTTCTTACACCTTCTATAGATGTGATAAATTGGAATACAATTTAAGGTCAAAGTTTTAGAATTGTAACTTCTACAATGATTCGGTAAAAACAATTGATCCTTATTATTTTACAACAAGACCTGTAAAACGATCTCAGATCTGGTAACTGAGAATGATACAGTCGACAAAAACTCAATGTGCGAGAAAATTAATTTTGTTAATAATTTCCGAAATAAAGTCAGTAGTTTATGAAAGTAGAACTACAAATAGAATACACGTGTATTGGCGATTTGGTGCAAGTTCCCTCGTCCCTCTCTATTTTTGTTTTCAAATTTTCCGTTAAAGTTCCTTGAAATCCTTAAATTCCAGATATAATCGGTTTCTGGCAATATTACTCATTACAGTTTCGGAATATTTTAATCGGAAATGTTAACCACATTCTGTGTGGCCTTTTTTCTTTTCCATCTTCCCTAAAAAGTATATATAATTATGATCAGCATAAAATTCGATTTAACGACGTCCGCCTGTCTATTGAAGTCTCGATATAGTCCACAATATTTGACGTAGAGCTTTGAAATATGGCACAATAGTTTGTATCTACCTCTGATGGCCGAATATAGTGTGTATAGATCCACGTTTTAATATAGGCCCATATAACGGTACCTGCAGATATTCGATATATTGATCATTTTAACCACATTTTTTCACGAAATTTGTTGAATTTGGTATTTACAATTTGCAATGGGGTTTACCTCGTGCAATTGATCATGTAGCTCCCATATAATGGTACCTCCTTATACTACTATTTTTGGCCACATTTTCTAACGGTACTTAGAGTTCGTAATGGGTTTTACATCCTATGTCAGAACGTTGTCTATATAAGTTCACGTTTTCCTATAGCCCCCATATAACGGTACCTCTTAATATTGGATATTTTGGCGACATTTTCTATCGGATTTGTTTCAAAACCGGTATTTTGAACTTACCTAAATGCAGGAATGCATTAAAAGTAAACACACTTTTTAGAGGTAAAGCCGTACTGCATGTGATTATGCAACATTCTCTTACAAAACATAGTTTTAGATATAACAAATCGCTATAATCAAAGAAGAAGAAGTCGTCAAAGAGGAGAACCCTTTATTCCATTAAATATAAATCATGGAGTACTCTCATCGCGTATTTCATAAAATGTGCTGTTTACTTTTTTCACAAATCTAAATACATAACTGCAATTCGTTTTGTCAAAACTTTACCCGCCCACCGTTAGATGTTATTGTAAAACGTTCACATTTCCATTTGAACATATTCAAGTTTAGCTCCCAAAAGCTCCAATTGCTGTTAAGATAAAAGTTTTCATTCACCTTCGTCAAGACCCCGTTTACCACAAACACAAACCGAACAAAAAAGCTCAACAAGAATTTCCCCACTATTTGTTTTTCCCATGAAAAAGCGACACACAGAACAAACAAACATACTTATAAATGCCATAGCCAGCGCACACTCTCTTACATTCGCTATGGTTATCCGTAAGCATCAAAACAAACAAACAAACAAACAAGCGGAACAACAAGCGGCCACTGCTAGTGTGTTAAGTACCAAAACAAATGAAAGCAGACAAGAAGTGGACTTGCGGCAGGACTTGAACGTTACGCAAACAATTAACCACAGTTAAATCCTCATAGCGCGTATGCAACCACAACCTTCAACCACAACCAACGCACATACACAGACACTCTCACACAAACTCTCAGCCAGGCAGACAGACAGGCAGACAGACAGACAGACACAAATCGATATTTTACAGATATTAGTGTCAATTGCCGAAGAAATCTTTTCACATAACAATTGCGGCGTTGGTTGGTGGGAACATTTGGGTCTATCCCTCTTTTCCAATTATTGCTGTACGATTCTGTAATGACCGAAATTTTATCAGAATTAAAAGTTGAGAATGAAAAGTTGAGCTATTAAGATCAATTCAATGTGGCAAAAGACAAGACAGAAGAAAAGATTATTTCGCCGCATTAGCCACAAGTCATCGGTTATAATCCATGACAAATATGCATTTTTAGCGTCGGTTAAACACTTTTGTGCTGCAGGAGATAAGTCGGAGTATCTCAGTATTTTATACCCTCCACCATACTATGGAGGGTAACTCTTCGAAATACTAATGTTAGACCCAATGGAGTGTTAATATTCGCGATGTAACACGCTATCTTTCGAACGAGCTGAGATAGAAGGCTAAAATTTTGCAAACATGTGTATTTTGTCAGTAGACACGTTAAGTTCATTGATGGGCTATATTTAGTTCATAGAATTGGGTAAAATTCGGTACTTAGGGTTCATAATGGGTTCTCCTTCCTGTGGTAGATCATTGCCCATGTAGGTTCACGTTTTGCTATAGCACCTCATCTTTCAGTACTTCCCGAAAACGGTATTCTGATGATTTTAGCCACATTTTTCAGGAGAATCGCTTAAAATTCGGTATTTAGAGTTTGTATTGAATTGTGTCTCCTATGACAGAAGACTGCTGGAATAGGCTCCTAATTTGTTTTATCACTCATGAGGCGCTACTTCCGAATATATGGTATTTTGGTGATTTTGGCCATATTTTGGAATTTTAAACTCCCAAAAGACACCAACCAATTAGCAGAAAATCGGTGCCAATGACTATACGGCATTTTTAAGACTTTCTACTAAACAATTTCACTGACAGAAATAGAAATGTTCCCAATATTCAATCCGGATTCTTTTATTGTTAAAGGTTTACCTTACTTCATGGTGGAGGTCATTGAAAGTTTGGCCCGGTCGAACATAACACGTTTTTAATTGTTATTTAATCTCTTTCGTATTGCTATAGGGATACATATCCATAAGTAGGTCAGGTCCCGATATCTTTAAAACTTCGCTTGCCTATCAGCTGGCTTGCCGAGAAAATGGCAATGGAATTCGGAACTCAAACAGCGTTAATACGATATGGCGAAGGAAGATTTTTATACCCTCCACCATACATAATTGTATATTAAGTTTGTCATTCCGTTTCTAACTCATCGAAATATTAATTTAAGACCTAATATTATATATATATTCTTGATCAGCGTAAAATTCTAATTTTACCCTGTCCGCCCGTTTGTCTGTCCGTATGTTGTAATCACGCTAGAGTCAAAACGAATTAGGATAGGAAATTCTACACAAGGAGTTCTTTGAGGGTAATTTACCTCCTGAAAAGGAATTGTCGATATAGGACCTCGATATCGTATAGCCCCCATATAACAGTACTTCTCGGTATTGGGTATTTTGATAATTTTAGCCACGTTTTTCTCAAAATCCACACAATAAGTTC